CAATAAATAAAAATCATGTACCATGGCACAGTGGTTGAAAATTGTGTTCTATTGTATTTATGCTTAAATCCTCCATAAGAAAAACTTTGAAAAGGAAGTTACCAAGAGTGGGGAGAGTGAGGGTTTAGATAAGTTTCTAAGACTTTCCCATATCTGGATGGCAAATAAAACTATACCAAATGTCCAAAGAACAAAAATAAATAAAAAGAGATGCAGAACAGGAAGCTACTGATGCTGGTGCTGGTAAAATGTGCTTATGTAATAAGATGTACTCTGAATCAAGTCATGATTAAGACTCAAAAAACCAATAGTGTTCATTCATATCAGACATAAAAGGAAGCAATAAGTAAGGTCTGTGAAAGGTGTATTGAGTGAGTATGTACGATTTCTACAGCACACAGCAGATAAAGAATTCATAAGGTATCAGTAGTTCATTTTAGCAAGACTTTCTACTTCTTTTCACTGAAAAATTTTCCTCGAGGTAAAACACAGGACTAACAGTGACTACTGTCAGGCTTTCTACTCAAGGTCACCTAAGACCATCCTGCATATCAGATATTTACATTACGATTCATAACAGTAGCAACATTACAGTTATGAAGTAGCAACGAAAATAATTTTATGGTTGGGTCACAACATGAGGAACTGTATTTAAAGGGCCTACTGTGGCTTAGTTGGTTGAGCATCCTCCCGTCACCGGTTTGATTCTGGTCAGGGCACATATACAGGTTGGTTGTGGGTTCAGAACCACTGGTTGAGAATTACTGGCTTAGACAAAAGCAGTAACATATACACGAGGTGTAAGAAGTAGGAAGAAAGACATACTAGCCTAAATTTAGCAATGTGACTGTGTAGGACCCAGAAAATTTAAGGACTAACCATTATTAAAAAGAGCTCAAGGTGAGGCCTGGTTGGGGTTGCTCAGTGGTTAGAATGTTGGTCCGTGAGCTCACATGTTTGATTTCCAGCCATGCTAAGAATTGTGTGGTGGTATCTTGGGGTTTTAATTTGCATTTCCCTATGATTGATAATTACCACCCTTTTATGATTACTTGCCAACTCTGTATCTTCTTTAGCAAAGTGTCTTGTCCACTTTAAAATTAGGTTGTCTTCTTATTTTGGAATTATGAGAGTTCTTCATATATCCCACAGTTTCTTAAACTTACATTTTCTACCAATTTATGACTTGTCTTTTCATTTTTCTCTACAGTGTTTTTAAAAGAGAAATACTATTTTGATGTAACCAAAATATTCATTTTTTAAAATATTTTTTGTGTTTAGCTAATGAAATCTTTGGCTTATCTATGATGACAATGATATTCTCAGATGTTTTCTTGTAGAAATTAATAATTTCAGCCCTTTACCTATAAAGCTATGATCAATTTTGGTAATTTTTTGATGGTGTAAAGTTGGAATTTTTGTTGTTTTTTTGAAGAACAGAATTTTCTACCCAAATTATGCACTTTGGCATAAGGTTTATTTTGAACAGAAGGAAACTGAGAAGCAGAAAAACTCTCTGCCCTCCCTGTATTTGCTAAAGAGAAGGACATAAATTTACAAAGATATTCTCCTTCCCTTTTTTAAAAAACTTTTAAAATATATATATATATCTTTACTGATTTCAGAGAGGAAGGGAGACGGAGAGAGAGATAAAAACATCAATGATGAGAGGGAATCATTGATTGGCTGCCTCCTGCACATCCCTTACTGATGATTGAGCCCGCAACCCTGGCATGTGCCCTTTACCAGAATTGAACCCAGGACCCTTCAGTCCGCAGGCCGACACTCTCTATCCACTTGGCCAAACCAGCTAAGCGAAGCATGTCAAACTCACAGCCTGCAGGCCATATGCGGCCCACCATGAGTATTTTTGCAGCTCAGCCAATAAAACAGTATATAAGAAACATTTTAATAAAAATTTCATAACTTCATTTTTAAAATATCCTGTTATACATAATTATTAACGAACTACAACATTCACTAATGACTGATTACTATAACCGTGTTACATTCATTTCCCTTATGCGTCTTACCCGCAGGTGCACCACTTCTCTCCAGTAATACTAGCAGCGAATATTTTAGCGGCCAATTACCACGTCATTAGTCTTGGACTGACTTGTTTGGTGTGCACACCAGAAAATATTTTGATTTCAGAGAACAAGAAAAATAGGTTTATTTGCGTTATGCTTATTAATTTGTGCAGTTATTCAGTGTCTGGTAAGTTAATGTTCAAGAAAAAATATTAACTTTTATTAAAATGGTTTGTTATTTTATGTTAACGATTACTCATTTATTTCAGCCCTTTGTATTCAGCATGTCTCTATCAAAATAAACCTACATTTCTATAAAAAGTTAAGCTTTTGTTTTTTGCAGTCCACATAAACTTAAACCTTGTTTATTTGGCCCGTGTTAGCCTTTGAGTCTGACATGCTTGGGCTAAGCTATTCTCCTCCCTTTTTTGACAGGAAGAATAAAAGTTAATCACAGAGACAACCTTATCAGCCTAGAGATGGTAACAAACTTTACTAACTAGCCTTTATCTATCATTAGTTTGACATATATTTGCCTTCCTACAATTGGCCGCCCCTAGAGACTCCAAGTCATTTTCTTTGTCTTATCACTTGTCTTAAATTTTATTGTTCCTTCGTTAAGATGCTAGCTATATAAACCTAAGTTCTAACCAAACTTCTGAGTTACTCAACCATGAGTTTCTCCCATGTATATATGTGATACACATGTTAATAAATTAATTTATCTCTTGTTAATCTATCATTTGCTAGAGAGAAAGGTGAGGATCTGGAGGAATAAAGGGAAAAAATATTTTCCTCCTTTACAATGGTTATCTAATTGTTTAAGGGCCATTTATTAAAAAGTTTTCCTTTCCGTCACTGAAATGCCTTGGCAATGGTCAAAAATCAATTGACCGTACACTTGTGGATCTATTTCTGGACTTGTATTGTCTTCCATTGACATATGTTTATTTGTACACCAATACCACACCATCTTAATTACTAAATATTTATAAGTCTTGAAATCAGGTAGTATACCAGGTGTACTGGTTAATAATGCGGATTGTTTTTCATTAGATGGAGTTACATATATGTTGATATATATATACTAGAGGCCCGGTGCACAAAAATTTGTGCACTCAGGGGGAAGGGGGGGTCCCTCAGCCCGGCCTGTGCCCTCTCACAGTCTGGGATGACCCCTCAGGAGATGACCACCTGCTGGCTTAGGCCCGCTCCCCGGGGGATTGGGCCCAAGATGGCAATCAGACACCCCTCTGGCAGCCCGGCAGCCCTTGGGGGATGTCCACTTGCCAGAGGGGGCAGGCCTAAGCTGCAGTCAGACATCCTTAGCGCTGCTGAGGAGGCGG